GTGTAATAAAGTTACTATTTTTGCATATTATATAACTACTTTATTTAAATTTCTGGTAATTAACAGAGATTGTGTATTGAAGGATAAAAAATTGCACATGTACCGCATCATATCTTCACTTGGCAGAGTTAATCCACACTCAATGAAGCAAGTGTGCTTGAAAAAGATGGTCATCTATTAAATTGATATCTGTTCGCCCTAAATGTGTTCGTCAAGCTAACATTCCTGTTAAAATTTGTTTCCAAATTTTTGCATTAAGCTGCTTTGAAGAGTAAATTGTTTCCACTTTTTAAGAATCTGACACATACAGAAAGTTGCGCCATTTCTGACTTTGGCCTTTATCATATCCTGTTGGAGCATACAGAGGGTTTGGAGAAACTCAGCGTCATATCAGCCGAGGAACTGACAGAGCATCATGAAGCCAACCTTAATAGGGCAGGAAACCGTTGCTGCCTTTAAAGAGCAGCTTCAGGTATGGACAACGAAAAAACTAGCCAAGCGGTAGCTACGAATAAGCCAGCCTGCAAGGGCTTCGTTCTCTTGTTTCGCTCCAAGAGACACAGGTGTTAAAAAATCCTATCAACCGAAGTGGCGAACTGCACGATCATTCAACGAGGTGACAAATTGCACCGGGTCATAGACAGAGGCCATCCGGACGGTTATATCACCCCTGATAAATAGAAATCATTATTTATAAGGGTTTATAAGTGCATTTTACAAACCTCTTTCTGAATAAAGTGTTGCTGATACTGGCTGGCGAACATTAATAGGTAGCTTTCTCAAACTGTGTATACGACAGCCTTACCTCTGAATTTAATTCAATAAAGTGCTATTCAGTTTATCGCTAAAAGGTTAAGAAGCGGTCAACTCTTTCACAAAGTCTGCTTCCGTCGGTTAACTAGACCCATCGTCGCGATTATAGCCGAATCAATATTACTCTCCACCTGATTCTTTCCCTGCTTCCACCAGCGGGTACTGCATCAAATACTTTCAAAGCTGGATTGTTTTCATCCTTTCGGACAAAATAGCCTAGCCAGCGTAGCCGCTATCTCTTCATTTGCTGAACTATGTCAATGTCGCCGTATAGTTCATACAGCTCATCGCTCCATCGCTCCATCGTCTGCGGTATTCGCCGTTGCCAATGCGCAAAGGACCATAAATCGTTCGCAAAACTTTTCTCTCAAAGACTAATAAAGCCGACTCATAGGATATTGACATCGTCCACACTTCTGCGCCATATAACAAGGACGGTATGATGAGCGACTTTTAGAGTTTGGTTTTCGTTCGCCGAGAGAGGACTTTTCTTTTCAATTGGCTGGTCAACCCAAAGAAGCACTGGTAGACAAGATTGATTTTGCTTTGAATTTCCAGGCTGACGTTGTTGTTGGTATTAATACTGGTTCCAAGATAGACGAAGTTATCTACGACCTCAAAGTTATGACTGTCAATAGTCACGTGGGAGCCGAGTCGTGAATGCGATGACTGCTTGTGTAATGACAGGAAATGCTTTGTCTTGCCCTCTCTCAATACCAGACCCATTTGCTTCGCCTCTATATTATTTTCTCCAGCAGTAAATTCAAGAAGTCAAACGATAAGGAATCATCGTGTCTGAAACCTCGTTTGGTATCGAACAGCTCGGAGAGGTCCTTCGCGATTCCGACAGAGCCTTTAGTGTTGATTAAGGTAAGTTTACATAGCCATATAAGTTTTGCGGGGATATCAAATTCAGACATAGCAGCGTAGAGGCAGTTCCTTTTCTGCTTGAAAGTCGACGAAGAGGTGGTGGATGTCGATCTTCTTTATACTGGTCTCTTCCAAGACTTGGCACAAGGTGAATGAATATCTGGTCAATGGTTGACTTGCTAGGTCCGAAGCCATGGTATCGCATGCTTTCGTCGGACCATATTTTGCAAAGAAGCTGACGCATGCACCTGATTAGTTCTTCACCACCGTATTTTAATAGCTCAGCCGATAATCCATCGGTCCCGCCGCTTTGATATTTTTTAAGCGGGCGATTGCTTTTCGAAGTTCTTCCTGGTCAGGTAATGGAACGTCTTTTCCATCGTCATCGATTGGGGATTCGGGTTCACACTTTCATTGGGTGTTTCCTCGTCAAGCAAGATGAAGAAGTGGATAGATTCAGTATTAACTGGGCATCCGTCACAAGCTCACCCCTTGGCTACCCAGGCGATACTTGGCCTAAGACCGGAAGTCGTGAGCTGCAAAAGAATCGTTTTTGGTCATTCCCTGGTGAATGGTAGTAAAACAATGTTCTCACTTACGTGAACTTCTGCACATGGCCCCATCCCCCACTAGGTTTAAGCAACCCTATAATAGATATATGTATATGTAATTGGCGCTTTGTAGCCGCTGAGAGGATTTTCAGTCGAGCTCTCCTCCTACTTGTGGTATGAATCCTGACGTTTTGCAACAAAACATTCAATTCATAATGGCTGTTGGATTTTTATGAGGAGCTTTTATTTAATGTGAGAAATATGCTCAAAGGGATTGACATTTCCTGCAATTATAAAATCCTGACCTTTCGAATGGTAGTACGCAAGACTAGCCGCTCGGCTATCCAATAAGAATTGCCTAAAACTTTCTAAAAGCTTTGAGGAAGGCACAATGGTGGAAATGGTGGAAATCCTTTTGCAATGAGAGAGAGTACATATCTCAGAAGAAAACACACTGTGGAACACAAAAGGTGAATGGACAACATATTACAGAGAATCGTTTTTCGAAACCGACTATTATCAGCACAAATACGATCGATTTTTCATATTTGAAATTTTGAGTTATAAATTCGTTCATAAAACATTTCGGAGCATAAAATTTAGTATTTTAGGCACATATGTATAATTAATTACACTTAATACGAAATCGGCGCGAATAACATATAGCTCCTATACACCAACCTCCACAACGAGACTATGATCGAACCCTTTGAAAACCCGAAATTTTTATAGACACGAAAATTCGGGTACAAATACGTACATAAAGGCAAACTTACACATCGAAAATCATGGGGATCTACATTTCACACACATTTCACATAGTTTCCATACTCCGATATGTTCAGATATTATGTCTTGGGACATTGACACGAGTATGGTCGAAATTGGAGACAATAACATATAATCGACACACAACCGATGTGTTCTGATATCAGGTTTGGGGTGAATATCAATCAAAAAATAAACATTTATTACAAAATGTAGACCCTGAAAATCTTGCAAATCGGATTTAGCATTTTACATTAAATCCGAAAAGTAAATGAAAGGTATGACCAAAGGCAGCTCCTCCTTCCTAGTCTAAACTAATTTTGTTCACTATTCAGTAGGATTTACTAATCCTTATAAATCTAAACATTGTTAGTCTCCAGCTGTTGATATGTGTACATAAAGAATTTTATTTGAATATGTCACTTTAAAGTGGGTTCCAAGGGTGTCGGCTACATCTAATGTATTGTATAATATAATGAATTATATATAAACATATATAATTGTTGCTTTGTAACCGCTGAAGTGGGTACTTCTTTGCACGAATACATTGCAGCTGACAGTGCTGTGGTTATCCTTTTCGCCACGTCGGAATTAAAATGTATTATTTCGATTGAAATGTAGTAATTTCATGCATCACTAGTGACCAAAACTGTTAGACAGATATGCATATAAGATCGAATTTGTATATGTATATGAATTTTATATCTATTATAAATAACCATATATATATATTATATATATATATATATATATATTATAAATAACCATATATATATATATATATATGTACATATGTGTATGAAGCAGCGCGAGTCAACGTGTCAGTCAACTATAACAGCATTGAAGCAACATTGCAGAGAACCAACAAAAATCAACGGTAACTACTCAAATTGTCATGTCTCTTTTTATTGACGTCCTTGCTGTTGTTCGGCATTTCATTTGAAGCTACTGGTTGATATTTTAACCCGCTTTGCACTTGCTCTCATTTCTGACTGTTGTTGCGCGCTAAAAATACGCGTTGACACAATTTTCAGTTATTTGGGCTGCGCTTGGTATGCAAATATTAGCAATATATGGCAGTGTATACAAATTATGATTTGTTATGGCATAACATAATACATTTACACATTTCACATATGTATATCAGGTTATATTTTAATGTCCTTGCACTATGCTGAAAGTATACAAACAATCTGCTAAATTTACTTAATTTAAAATGCATGGGAATGTGTTTTAGCGACTTTTTTTGTGGGCGCTGTCCAGTGTGTATAACCATACATTATTTGCATTATTTGAGAAATGAAAAACATTTTTTTTCAAAAACAAATCTTTATTATTTTGCTGATAAGCCTGCTAACCACGTTCAATATAAATTTTTGAAAATTATTGTCATTTTCTTTTCGATTATTTAAGCGTTTTTATTTAATATCCATTATTCATTATTTGTTTATTTCTACAAGTTGAAAAAAATTAAATTTAGAATTTTAAAAACTTCTAATTCTCATTTTGCAATATTTTCTTCGAAATATAAATTTTGTAAAATATTTTCTTTTACATATCAATTTTGTAAAAAAAAAGTTACATCCAAGGCGAATTTAGCAAGGTGGAGTTGTTGGAGCAGCGAATTCTTTCTTCATTTAAGTAGTTCGCTTCAGTGTAAATGCTGTCTAAAGGTTTGATTATATATTGTATGATTGTTTATAAATCTGTTCGAATAAAAATTATCCAGAATCATCCATCACTATTCAGACAGCCAAACATCAGCTGTTTTTACTTTTGATTTAAAAATGACTAGAAATAGGAAGCTGGATGTGAAATGCTCACCGGGAAAATTAAATGCATTAATTTGTTTATAAAATTTTCTTTATTACAATAGGTTAATAAAAAATGAATTTGGAAGTTTTGTTAATTTTCTCTGAAACTCGAATAATTTCTTACTCTTTCACATACTAAATTTTTTATTGAGTTCCCCATGTTCTCGATAATCATCGTCAACACTTTCAGGTCCACTTTTCATGTTAAGCAAAATGTTTTAACTCCACGCAATTTACACTAATACAATGGTCTAAATCTCTGTTTAAAAATGCCCAATGTGTGCTCTATAGCAACACAAAAACAGCTCAACTTTTTATTCCTCTGTGGCGAGAGTAAATACTTTTACATGGATATGCTGAATCTCCCAATGAATAGTAGTCTGGAATTATAGTAATCAAAAGTTTTAATATTTCAAAACCAATATTCAAGTGCGTTACATTCGCAATTCAATGGAAAATTATGATAAATTGGAGAAATCTTAACTCATGACAGGAACCAGAGAATCCAAAAAATGCTTTAATAATTTTTTTCTTTTCATTGCACGCATATTGACACATTTCCTTTCCGGTCAATATCGTCAAATATAGTCTTACTACAAAAAATGCAAATACTAAAATTACGTTTAGTTTCATATCTTACCTACAGCGTTGGCATTGGAAAAGAAGCATTTGCTTACAAAAAATTTGATTGATTCTGTTTCTGTCGGGAATTTTGGGCTCATAGAAATCAAAAACATTGTAACTACTCTATTTTCATATCTTCATTGTCGCCACTTTCTCATGATGAAAAGTTCCCGAAAAATTATGTTATTAAACACACAAATTCGTCCACTGCACGTGCAATATTATCCATTAACATAGCTAGAGTATAAGTTAGAGTAAATGGCATATATGTATGTATGAAAAATTATTTACAATTATGAATAGACGCTTTGATAATTGATTTCATCATTTACTTTCCATTTTGTTTGATATATTGTAATCGTTTTTGTTTTTTTTTTAACTTTTAATTGCTTCTTTTTATATTTATTTATGTACACTAAAAGCGACCATATGTTTTTATATTCATACATATGTATGTATGTTTTCGTTATGGATAATTTTTACAAGTCAAAATTTTTCCATTACAAAATTAAAGTCTTTATTGCACTGAACTGTCACTCTCAAATATTGGTTGCTGGCTAAATTTTAGGTGTAAACGAACGGCATTTGACAACAATTTCGGATAATTTGTAATAGTTTTTCAAAATTATTGTTATAACGAAGCTTATCTTTTGCTCTTCATTTGGTAACATTTAATTTGAATTTCTAATTGAAAAATTGAAAACTTTTACATTCGATCTCTTTTTTTTTTTTCAAATAAAAAATGTTGTTGTTGAGTTGAGTTCAAACGGTTATTAACCAACGCATTAAGGCCAATAGGCTAGTTGTGAAACCGCTATGAGGCTCTTATCTTCACCTTCTTAAATGCTAGAGCCGTTTCGAGTATCTATTAAAAGCAAGGAGATTACCAAATTTTTGCTTAGGCTGTCTTCCCGCGAAGCCTCATTGAACAGTTATCTGTTATTGTACTCGCCGTTATGCTTATGGATAACCGGTCTAGAAGGATAAGATGTTTAGATTTTTTCGCGTCCAATTTTGGCCATAGCTGTGTGGTCGAACTCTTTTTTTTGTACACATCAAAGAACTTTATTTATTGATTGCTTAATCAAAGCTAAAGTTAAGCTTTAGAGTCTTAATAACTAATTAATCACTGCTTTTGTCCATTAATAGCAATGGACGTCAGATAAAACGTTGCTCTTCAAAATACTGGCAGATCTCTCTTGCCGGGCAGAACATTCGTTAGAGGATTCGGAAATTTTGCAGTTTCGACAGGTGTTTTGTCAGGTATTTATCACTTCAGTGTTTACCGTTGGTATATAAAGGTCTCCTTATATATTTTCGTAGCGCATATACCAAGTTGCACCTGTAAGGTATCGTAGGGTTTCAGATTGGAACCACTGTATTTTCTAAAGATTAGTTGTGCCGGCAGAGCCCCATAATTGTATTCCATACATCCATATTTGCTTTATGACACAATTATAAGAAAATTTTATGATTGCAAACAGTTTTGCTTGGAAGACGTGAGTGGAGCGATGCGTATGTTGCCCCGTGCTGTAGGAGTCTGCCCCCGCATGTTTCGACAAGCCCCCCGTATCTCGAACGTTCCCTCGAGACAGACCCCACTCCTACAATTTAACTGCAACGGACTCCAGGGAAAGATCGACGAGATAGTCAACTACATGAGCCGGGAGCACCTGTCAATTGCTGCGATCCAGGAAACTAAGTTGACTGCAGGGCCGGATACAACATAATCCGCAAGGATCGTGAGCAAGACCATGGTGGGGGCTTAGCGTTCATCCTGTATAACACCGTGCAGTATCGTCTTATCGACGGCGACATCGACCGCAGGGATACTACCCTAGAACGTCAGGGCATAGCTATCCGGTCAGGCGATGTCGAGCTCGAAATATTCAATATATACATTCCTCCAGTTACAAGTTTTCCAGCAGGATACACCCATGATACAGGTGCGCAACTCAGGGGCGAAAACCGTTTGGTTTTGAGCGACTTTAACGCGCTTCACGAACTTTGGCATTCTAGACTGTCAAATGACCGTAGAGGAGTGGAGCTGGCAGAACAGATAGACGATTCGACATTCTGCACAATGAACGACAACACCCCCACCAGAGTTATGGGTAATTGCCAAAGCTCGCTAGACATAACAATTGCGAGCGCTGGTCTGATAAACAGTATAGTCTGGCGACCTATACTGACGTTAGCATCGGACCATTTCCCCATACAAATTTCGATTAACAGGCCTCCCGACTTTGTTTCCGCGGATCACCTGACATTTGTTAACTTCACTGAGAACGCCTTTAGTGCTCTTCCCACTCCATCAGACGTCACCACTGGTGAACGTTTATTCCGCAGGGTCGTCTTGACCGCTGCCACCCCCTTCATCGCGGGAGGCCGAATTGAGAAAATTTTTCGACTGAAGCGGCGGTATTAGCATCCTGGCGCGACACCCTCCGAAGCTCCGATCCCGGGAATTCCCTAATCAGGGATTTGAACGTGGAGGTTCGAAGGGTAGTCAACAATAATAAGCGGAAAAAGTGGCAGGAACACCTAAGGACCTGCAACCTCTCCTCTGAGGCAACCAAGCTCTGGGTTACTGTCAAGTCGCTGTCTAACCCGACGAGATGTGATGACCGGGTAGAAATTTCATTCGGTGATCGCTCCTCCAAATCCATCGGCCCCGACGGAATAAGCATGCTGATGCTGAAACACCTAGGACTAGCAGGAGCAGAATTTCTCACGAGGGTCCTCAATCTGTCTCTAACCACCTTAAAGATACCCGAAGTGAGGAAAATGGGCAAGGTGGTCCCGCTACTCAAACCGGGGAAACCAGCCAACAAAGGAGGGTCCTATCGACTTTCACTCACCATCTGCGTCCAGCAGCGCATCAGCATGGCTTCCGAAAAGCGCACAGCACCACAACAGCGTTAAAAGCCATAAACACTCAGATAGTCCATGGCCAACAAAACCGAGTCTGCGCGCGAACTGTCCTGGTAGCACTGTATCTGTCAAAAGCTTTTGACACAGTCAATCATTCAATGCTACTAACGGACATTGAGAAATCCTCATTACCGCCGAGGTGGGTAATGGGCTACCTGAGTGGACAACAGTCATCGGTAATATTCTGAGGTGTAACATCTAAGCCAAGGAAAATTAAACAGGGGGTTCCGCAGGGTGGTGTCCTCTCCCCGCTACTGTTTAATTTCTACATCTCGAAACTCCCTCCACCACCAGAAGGAGTTTCCCTAACCCCATCTGCCGTTGATTGTACGATAATGGCGTCTGTCCAGGATATTGTCGGCCTCTGCTCGAAAGTGAACGGCTACCTCGCTGATCTCTCTCACTTCTTCACTGCAATACAGATAAAAATACAACCGACGAGATCCTCCCCTACCCTCTTCACCAGCTGGACGTAGGAGTACAGGCTTGAACTAGATGTGAAGGTCGATGACACAAAAATTCCGACGGTAAATAACCCAAAAATATTGGGACTAATGGCGCCCTCGGAGAAAAACTACCACCTATAGTAGACAACGAGCTCGAGCTGCCTCGAGAGACCCGCGTGACCCTGACACAACGTAGGTCTGGATATTGTAGCAGGTTAAACTTCTACTTATCCTGACTAGACCCTAGTGTACCCAACATATGCTCTGCATGTGGAGAGTCTCCTGCACGACCACCTCTTCACATGCCCTCTCAAACCAACTCATCTAGCCCCCCTCTCCCTCTGGTCCAACCCCATCGAAACAGCTCGTTTCCTGAACCTCCCGCTAGCTGACCTCGGCGACTTAGACTGATCAAGCCTGTACCTAAGCGGGGTTAGCGAACCGCTGCAACAACAACAACAACATTTATATGTATCATTTTCTGACATGACACTAATCCTCTCATTATTTGACAACTCGAAACAATTTTACCACTTGCCACACTATTTCGACGACATTTTTGTGTACCAAAAGCCATATTGATGCCGTTAGAGAAGTATTCGGTTAATGTCATCTATATATAATAGGTGGGAAAGCTTATGTTGAGATGAGCATAATCCTTTTATATTAAAGTGGGTTTACTGCAAGACGAAACCATAACGAGCTCAGGGCATCTCCCTGAAAAATACCTCGTTTAATAGCTATAGGAGCTGTCTTTATAACCCATTTTTATATTGTAAATTGAGAGTTACCTCCCACGAGTTCACTGTTTTATATAATAATTGTCTTATTTTTGGAGATGTTTTAAAAATATTCAGTACTTTAAGAAGCCATGAATGGGGAATGCTGTCAAACTCTTTAGTATAATCAATATAAGCGATAGATATTTCGCCGGTCATGAAAAGATTGTTCCATAACTACCGAATCTATATATCTATAGTTTATAGAGGGTACATACACATGTAATAGGTATCGTCCTTTGAGAGATTACCAGTATTTTGTAAGTCTTTCGGTAGGAGGAAAGTTTGCATCTTTTATCATAAAAGCGGGTACTTGAGCTTCATTTCGAAGGAAGACTGAAAAATAGTGAGCATGAGCACTCGTTGGCTTCTTTAGCCAGAAATTGTGAACGTCAACAGGGCCTGGGGCTTTCCAGTTGTGGATATTTTCCACTGTCTGTTTAATGTCCAACTCGTGTAGCGTGATATATTCTATTGTGTTAATATTTTCGCGTTTTTTGCATTCTCCTGAAATCTATGTACAGCTCGTATTGTGTGTTACTCTTGAAGACCATATGGATTTCCAGAACTGCTCGATTTGCGCGCTGGTGGGTATTTCTGCTGTGTTGTTAGTCTTATTGTCCTTTAATTTCTTGTAAGAACTTCTTTCATTTTTCTGAAATGCAGCATTTGCTGTTTTTCTCTTGTCAGATAACGTATATCTTCGTAAGCGATTACATTTTATTGCTTGCTTTTGACGCAATGTGTCCAAGAACTCTTCGGCATACTGATTTGGTGTATCTTGTTTCGAATGTATCTTATATTCTTTTTGAGGCTTTCATACCAGTAAATAAATGCCGTGAATATATTGGTTTACTCTTCCGAGTTCTGTCCAAAGCTTTTGAGTTTATGCCTTTAGTCTGTGTTTCCAAGGAGGTCCGGATTTCTTCGATTGCTGCTGCATATATAGCTGTTTGAAGCTCCTCAAAGGTACTGAGTATTTTATTTTATTTTATTTTACTTTATTTTATTTTAATTTATTGCTTTTCATTTTATTTCATTTTAGTTTTTTAAGTTTATTTTATTTTATATTGTTTGAATTTATTTTAAATCATTTTAGTTTACTTTATTTTATTTTATTTTATGATATTTTATTTTATTTTTTTTGGGGTATATATCACATAACGGTTGTTTAAAACAAGATATATAAAACTATTGCTAAATTATTTTAGAAATTATTTACAGATA